CATTATTTTACCAGTGCTTAATTTGTGCCAGGGCTGAGCCCCAGCACCTCTAGGTTGGCAGTTCATAGTCCTGGCATCTCTGGAATTGCTGCATCAGTTATGAATGTAAAAAAATTGATTGAGCCCCGGCACCTATTTAATTATGAATTAAGCACTGCTATTTACCACTCCCTCAATCTCTGTGTCATCTGCAGGGCTGGCTCTAGGCACCAGCAAAAGAAGCAGATGCTTGGGGCAGCACATTTCCAGGGGTGGCATTCCAGTGCCAGCCACACCATCCCTAGAAATGTGTCCCTGCAGCCCCAGCTTGCCCACACTCCGCCTCCACCTGCTCCCCTGAGCGCGCTGCCGCCGCTCTGCTTCTCCCCCCTCCTTCTCAAGCTTGCCGTGCGCAAAACTGCTGTTTCACGCGGCAAGCCTGGGAGGGAGGGAGGGAGGAGAAGCCAAGTGGCGGTGCGCTCAGGGGAGGCAGTGGTGGTGGAGCGGAGGTGAGCTGGAGCGGGGGAGCGGTTCCTCTATCCCCCCCCGTTACTTCCTGTGCTCCCCCTCCCACCCTCACTCACCTCCGCTCCACCTGCTCCCCTGAACGCACTGCCTCTCCCTCTAGAGGGAGTGGGGAGAAGCGGAGCGGCGGCGTGTTCAGGGGAGCAGGCGGAGTGGAGGTGAGCTAGGGCGGAGGGCTGCGGGGGGAGGGGGGAGCTGCAGGAAGCAATGGGGGGGGAATGCGGCACGCCCGGGGGAGGAGGCGCAGCCGGGGATTTGGGGAAGGGGTTGGGGCAGAACCGGGCATGAAAAAAGCAAGGGCAGCCAAAAATTTTTTTGCTTGGGGCAGCAAAAATCCTAGAGCCGGCCCTGCTCATCTGCCAACTTTACCAGGGATTATTTTATATTTTCTTCCAAATGATTGATAAAAATGTTATATAGTGTTGGGCCAAGAACTGATCCCTGGGGGACACCATTGGAAACACACCCACTCATTGATGATTCTCCATTTACAATTACATTTTGAGACATATCAGCTAGCCAGTTTTCGTCTGGGGCTGTGTAAATAACTGCTTTGTCAGTTCATTGGCAGTTCTGAAATGAAATATTTCATATTGATATTGATTTTTTTAAAAAAAGACAACTTTTTTTTTTCAAATACAATGGAAGGAAATTGCTTCCTAGTCACTGTAGTGAGCTGAAATTCCTGGAAGAAGGGATTGCCCTGCCTGCTGTTTTACCATTTCATATCGGGACTATACATGTATAGTGTGTATGTGTAAATAAAACAAGTCACACTTAGACTATATCCAGACTGCAGCTGCCTGAAAGACTCCAGAAACCTGTTACTGCCCAACTGTGGTGTCAGAATGGGACAGTGGGATCTGAAGAAAGGGCAACAATACTAATTTGTTAGATGGAAATTGAAATACTTACATCTCAGAGTGAAGAAGACACCTACATTTTTTAGACAACGATGAAACTAAATCTCCCCATAGAGGAGAAAAGGACAGCCAACTAATATACACCCCTCCTCCCATTCTATTGAAAGCTTTGCTATGGACTTCCATAGATGCAGAATTGGGCTCTTAAGGACACTGGATATTTTAATAATTTGAATTGATTTCTGAGATGTTCTAATAGTTTGGAGCTGTGATCTCAAGGATAATATTGTTGTGTTAAGCACTTAAGCTAGAGTAATTGACAGTTCCCATAACTTCATTAATGGACATGGACTTAGTTTAGAAAGATACATAAATATCAATATGAATAACGTGAAGTAGCAATTTGACAGATGAAAGAGTCTTGAAAATTCAGCCCATTTAATCATGCCCTCCTGCTTTCTCATTTAACCCAAGTGCTACTGAATTTTTTTTAAAATAGTATCCCTTTGATAGCTCTACAGAGGGACATGAGAAGTTCAAACCTGTATTAGGAATGAAGAAAATTGGACCAAGTGTTCACACAATGTAATACAAATGTATTTCCAAGAGACTAGTAGTATAACATAAGCATTCGTGTTTAACCTTTAAAAGACAGCTTGAGAAAAGGCTTTTTTGAGCTGTTGTGTAATAAATCAAGTGAAAATGCACCACTTACCATAATGGTAACTGATTCCAGTAATGCCTCTGAACTGAATGATTGTAAATTCCTGACATTCTTCCTTCCAAGGTCTTCCAAAGTCATTTTTCCTGGTACTTTTCCTGGTATTTTTTGTTTGTTTTTAGTTACATATATAAGACCATTAATAATACTGCAAGTAGCACTTTTCATCTTCAGAATTGTTTACAAACATTGACCTTAACTCTGCAAAAAGTGTCCATATATATAGTTTTTGAAACTGTGTGAAACTGGAGAAAAAAAATTCAACAATGTTTTGTATAATTTTTTTTCAGAAATATTCTGTAGGATTTTGAGCCCTTGAATTTCTTCTGTGCAATTCTAGAAAGGTTATTTTAAAATGGAAATTATGCAGAAACACTCCTGGTGCTGGACAAAGCACTGTATCATAGAAAGTTAGGGTTGGAAGGGACCTCAGGAGGTCATCTAGTCCAACCCCCCTGCTTGAAGCAGGACCAATCCCCAATTTTTGCCCCAGATCCCTAAATGGCCCCCTCAAGGATTGAATTCACAACCCTGGGTTTAGGAGGCCAATGCTCAAACCACTGAGCTATCCCTCCTCCACTGCACTATATGATTAAGCAGATACCTGTGGCTTTATAAAACAGCTAAAATGAAGCTAATATATTTTACTGTTTACTTTCCCAGAGACTGTATTATATACCAGTAAAACTTTTGCACTTACAAATTATGTTCCAAGTTTGAAATATGGGGAGTCAGCATTTTAGATAAAATTCCCTGCATGTGGGACTGCACCAGTACCCAGCTATCCTGGCAACAGATCTTTCTACTGTTTTTTAAGTACAGTTTTTCATTTAAAATTCTCTCTTTCAGACTGCAGTTTAGAGCTGCTGGACCCAAGTCTCAAAGACCTTTTGCTGTCACATAAATCAGTAAAATGAATGCATCGGTAGCCACATGTAAATAAACCCCACACTATTTATCTACTGCATGGCTCTCCAAAATAATCCCCTAAAGGAACAGCTTGTGACAAAGTTACTCTATTGTTCATCTCAGAGGGCAGAGGGTTTATAACTTTAAAATAAAGAGTGGGAAGGAGACATAGGGGCACATCGCACACCTGTGAGAATTAGGTCACTTTTACATAATTGCCTAGAATGGATTTAAGAGCCTATCTTTAGGCACCCATATCTGAGCACTTAGGTTGTAACTCACATTTGGGCCACAATACATTTTGTAATGTGGTGTTTTCTGTTGGCCATGTTAGTTCATATATACAGCCAGACCACCTTAAGCACCTTGCCAGAGATTGAGATGGGTGGCACACGATCTGTGAGGAGGCCACGTCTCCTTGGTGATGAAGACAATGTTAGGTTATCATGTTTGAGACTGAAGCACTGCTTGTTAAGAAAAACAGATACAAAATATTTTGCTTTAGATTAGTAATTGTTCTTTTTTTTCATTTTCTTTTACATACTTTATTTGGTATCCAGTAACTGCAGGTAGTTCTATAGGCATTGATGATATCGGTGGTGAGCAAATGAAGATTAATCCCCTCCATCCATTATATTAAATCTTTCTAGGCTGAGTAAAGCTGGCATAATAAGAAAGCTGTGTAATTTACATTTCACAATAGCACAGACATCTATCAAAACACTCACTTGCATTAAGCGAGAGTGGCTTTGTGATGAAAAAAAGAAGAAGAAAATCAAGACTTTGTTTCCCTTGTGGAAGAATAGGATCTCTTGGGTGTGGAATAAGGCTGAAGCATCATTAAAGACAGCGTATATAAGGCACAACAGCTTCATTTCCTGTGGGGGAGAGAAGCAAGTTCTAAGTCATAGCTGAGTTCTGAGATTTCTTTTTTAAAATAGTGCAGGGAATGGAGAGGGGAAGGGAAAACAAGACTATACCATCAGTTAAGGCTGACAGAGAGAAGATGAGTAGAGCAATAAAACCAATATGGGTTCCCCTAATGAAAGAATGTACAATAATTAAATAATAAGGTAATAATAAGTCTTTGGCAGAGTAATTTAAGAGGCGTACATTGGGGATGTGTTTGTGTGTAGTGGCTCTTCAATGTAATATCAATGGGGGAGATCAATGTTGCCCAAAGGGTGATAGCAAATAAGAATTTCCTTCAAGAATATATTGGGAGGAAAGAAATATTAGACTGAGGGATAAATGAACAGGAATATTAAATTCATTATTGTACTAAAACAATTGTTTTTGTTCAAGACCATGTCAAGTAAGAAGTAACAAAGGATTTATAAGTACTGTAGAGATAGTTAAAAATAGATTTTTACAGCAGATCCCAGGTGATTAAGGGAATAATGAAAAAAAAATTAATGGTAAATGATTACAACAGCACTCAAAAAGTTGCTAAGCAAACATACAGGAAGAAAGTGCCCCTTCCCTAAAGCGCTTACCGCACTGACAGGCGGACAGATGAAGAGTGGGGCAAAGGGGGTACAGCATATACAGAAAGCATTCAAGGTAGAGATGGGCCATGTCATGATAATTCCATTATATATTTATAATTAGTTCCAAGGGCTTTACCAAGCCAGCATGAATTTATTAATCCATTGGGCATCATGGTAGCAATAGGTCTTGAGAAATTTCAGTGCAGCAAGGGTACTGGTCTATTAAAACTTTAATGTCATAAATGCCAGACAAGTCTTCAACTGTATCTCACCCCACATAATCAAAAGTTGGCCATGAAACCAAAAATAAATGTTCACTACTGATTGGCTGAATCGACCATAGCAGACCTGTTGGATTCCTGATTATAAGTATGTGTTTAGTTCCTTTTTAAAGCTGCCCGTAATCACATTCACAGCTCTGGCTATTGTTGAGGTGGGTTTAGAGGGTTTTTTCGGTTGCTGCTGACTTTGCTAAAATTGTCTGATATCTCATTATTTCTAATGTGATTGTAGCCAGGTTCCCTTCTTCAGGTGGAAGTGAGGCTGCTCAAGTGGAGACATCTGACATCTCCAGGTGTTACCAATGGGTATAAAGGTAAGAGGGCCGCATCTTGTTCTCAAATGGTTGGAACTATGTGCTGCTGCTTCTGCCTGTATTTTATTGCCTCATTGAAATGTTTTTTTGGAGGATCACAAGGATCTGTGAAGAACAACTCTGTGGTTAAAGCATTTGAGGGGGCTTCAGAAAAGGTGGGTTCAATTCCTGACTTCATCATGGACTTTTTGTGTAACTTGGGGCAAGTCCTTCAGTTTCTATGCCTCAGCTATGACAGCTGTTAAAGCAGGAGGTGGGGTGTTGAGGATAAATTCATTATTGTTTGTGTTGGGTATTCAAATATATAGTAATGGAGCCATATACATATTTCTTCACTGTGAACAAAGCCAACTCTAGAGACAATTATAGTGTGGAGGAGAAGAAAAACACAATAACCTTCCACTAAAACTGCTCTGGATAGAGAAAAGAGAACCCTGTACTCTGATTTTCACAGGACAGAGGACTGAGTGCCCTGGAGGCATACTCTCCCAACTAGTTAAATTGCAGGAGAATTTAGAGAGGAAATATCTCAGATGTGATTAAGTAAATTACACTTGTACATTATGAAGAGTGAAAGGTAAAAATTCCTTTCAAAGTACCTTTTGATTGTTCATACTCCTCACTTTCAGGCATTACATCATGATTTCAGTGACCATTTTACCTTTCAGCTGTATTTTACTGCCATTGTTCTCAAAGCCAGTCAATATTTGTTTAACATTTACTGTGCAAACCCACACTGAGGAAGTGAAGGGATATTCTTTCAAAGATTCTGCGAGCCAACTGTTAGTTAATAAGTTTGGTTAAAACTAGAATACTGTAAGATGGATTTTTTTTACCAGAGGCCCTTTAGTGTCTAACATTAATTGGTAATTTTGTGTTCAATATTTATAGCTTTGATTGCATAACATTGGCTCATTCTTTACTTGAGATTAGAGGGCTGAGGTTGAAGCATGTGGTTCTTGCATAGGCTGCCAGGAAAAGTGATTACAGATGTATTAATTACCTTGGTTATGTAAGCACTTGTGACATTGGATTGGATTTAACAAGGACAAGCTGTAGAAGCCATGAGGTTCTTATAACTTTATTGTGAAAAGGTAAATGCCTCTGGTCCTGCAGGGAAAGAAGAACATTGATTCTTCTCAATATTTCTCAGCTTCCAGTTTTGTGTCTCCCACTACAAAAAGGATGTGGACAGAGGAGAGCAACAAAAATGAATAGGGGGCTGGGGCACATGACTTATGAGGAGAGGCTGAGGGAACTGGGGTTATTTAGTCTGCAGAAGAGAAGAGTGAGGGGGGATTTGATAGCAGCCTTCAACTACCTGAAGGGGGTTTCAAAGAGGATGGAGCTAGGCTGTTCTCAGTGTTGCCAGATGACAGAACAAGGAGCAATGGTCTCAAGTTGCAGTGGGGGAAGTCTAGGTTGGATATTAGGAAAAACTATTTTACTAGGAGGATGGTGCAACACTGGAATGGGTTACCTAGGGAGGTGGTGGAATCTCCATCCTTAGAGGTTTTTAAGGCCCAAGCTTGACAAAGCCCTGGTTGGGATGATTTCGTTGGGGTTGGTCCTGCTTTGAGCAGGGGTTTGGACTAGATGACTTTCTGAGGTCTCTTCCAACCCTAATCTTCTATGATTCTATGTAATTCAACTTGCCAGTTTCTTTTTTACTTTGAGGAGCACGAGTATACCACAGTGATGGGTGAGATGTGAAAATCTAAAGAAAACAAGATGAAATATCACATGTGGTGATAATATTGCTACAATCATGTGATACATTGGATCTATTTTGAACATCTGGCTGCCTCATTGTGCTCAATCCATCTCCCCACAACACTTCTAGCATTCCAAGCTTCCATGCAGCCTTTGAAGAAACACCATTTTATAAAATAAAATAACAGAACACCCCTGGCCATCATGTACAGCCCCCAGCTAACACCTCTCCAGCGCATCATCAACGATCTACAACCCATCCTGGAAAATGATCCCCCACTCTCATAGGCCTTGGGAAACAGGCCAGTCCTCGCTTACAGACAGCCCCCCAACCTGACACAAATACTCACCAGTAACCACACACCACACAACAAAAACACTAACCCAGGAACCAATCCTTGCAACAAACCCCATTGCCTACTCTGTCTCCATATCTACTCTAGCGACACCATCATAGGACCCAACCACACCAGCCACACCATCAGGGGCTCATTCACCTGCACGTCTACTAATGTGATATATGCCGTCATGTGCCAGCAGTGCCCCTCCGCCGTGTACATTGGCCAAACTGGACAGTCTCTACGTAAAAGGATAAATGGACACAAATCAGATATCAGGACTAGTAACATACAAAAGCCAGTAGGAGAACACTTCTATCTCCCCGGACACTCAATAACAAATTTAAAAGTAGCCATCCTTCAAGAAAAAAAAACTTAAAAAAACAGACTCCAAAGAGAAACTGCTGAACTACAATTCATTTGCAAACTTAACACCCTCAATAGGGACTAGGAGTGGCTGGCTCATTACAAAAGCAATTTTCCCTCTCTTGGTATTGACACCTCCTCACCAATTATTGGGAGTGGACCACATACATCCTGACTAAATTGGCCTTCAACGTTGGTTCTCCACTTGTAAGGTAACTCCCTTCTCTACATGTGCCAGTATATATTTATGCACGTGTCTGTCATTTTCACTTCATGCATCTGAAGAAGTGGGCTTTTTACCCCTGAAAACTTATGCCCAAATAAATCTGTTAGTCTTTAATATGCCACCAGACTCCACGTTGTTTTTGTGGATACAGACTAACATCCCTCTGATACATTTTATAAATAGAGAGAAATAGTCATTGCCCCTAATTGTGGTTCAGGTAAAAGTAAATATTATGTTGGTTCAAAGTTCAGGGCAGGAAATACTCCGTTCTGGATTTGTGACAGCTTTATGCTTTGATATTTTGCAAACTAACAGCATTACAAAACACCTGCTTTACAATATTGGAAAGCCCCTTTTCTTGGTGGGTCTTTATCTCCTTTTAAAAAAGGCAAAAAAATCTGTACTGTTGTCCTGTTTAATTTACAATGTAAGATCCTTGGGATTTCTACTCCTTTTTTCCTCTATTTTGTACAATACTGTGCAATTTAACAGAGCTCAATATATAATAGAACTGGCAAAAAAAAAGATTTTTCTCAATATCCATGTTTTCATAATCTCTCATCAAAACTTGAAAAATGCTGACCAGTTCTAATAATAAGTAATATTGCACCTTGGTTTTATAAGATTAGAATAAATTTTATTTCATAACCTCATCCAAGAGCCTCCTTTACTTGTAAGTGCAATGTACAACATATTATTACATAGTACTTTTTCCCTGAGGATCTTAAAGCACTTTGCAAACAATTAAGTCTTAGTCAGAATGCCTCTGTCACACAGGTCATCATTTTAGAGATCCATAAGTTAAGACACAAATAGACTTATCTACATCAGGGTCATATAGTGACTCACTAGTAGATCCTGGAATAGAACTCAAGACCTCTAGACAACAGTCTTTCCCATATGATATCATATAGCATCTGAAAATAGAGTTTTATTTAGTTTTGGCCAACATTGTTATAAGCAAAATTGGCAGTGATGTTTTTAGTTAGGGTTTTCTAAAACTTTCCATTCTAAAGCACTATTTTCAGTTGTTCATAACTTTGTCCACCTTTAACTGTTCGAGCTGAAACTTTGAATGGTGGGGATCTGCCTCCAGCTGAGCTTTTTAAAGAAGGTATTAGTAAAAATGGCTGAGCTATTTTCAAGGATGAAGTTAGGGAATAATATGTTTCTTTGGCAATGTTTTAAAAAATGGCTTACAACTGCTTTTAAAGAAGGTCCTGCACCTTCATCCTTTCAATCAGACCCTAGAGATTTACCAGAGACAGAAGGAGAGGGTAATCTAGTGAGGAGATAGGCTGGTGCTGGCAGGGAATTGATTGCGGTGGGGCATGGCTAGGAGACGAGGCAGGCTAGGGTTGGCAGGGAGTTGATTAAGGGGCAGTCTGAGACAGAATGTTCTGTAACCACTAGAAAACCCTCACCTCCAGAAGCCAGAATTGAATGTAGGACTCTTGAGCCCAGCATTCCTCTAATGTCTAGGAAACAGCTGTGAATTCAGTCTGTGTGTGTGACAGAGACAGAGATGTCCCACTAGTAGGGAGTCCACATAGAGAATGGTTTCAGAGGAACAGCCGTGTTAGTCTGTATTCGCAAAAAGAAAAGGAGTACTTGTGCCACAAGTACTCCTTTTCTTTTCACATAGAGAATGACAATCTACTATTCTTCTCAGTTTCTCTGTTAGCTCAAGTGGCAGAGGTGTGTGCTTTGGATCTAAAAGTTCTAACCATTATCTGTATGGGGATCAATATGTTCCACATGACTGAAGTTCTGTTTTTTTTCAATTTGTTTTTTTTTAAACATAAGTCATCACATTAAAAAAAAAAAAAAACCTGCACTAAAATAACATTAAGGTTGGAACATTAAGGTTGTCAGAAGTTAGGAAATGCCCGAATTATAGTTGTTTGTGAAGCCTTAATTCAGTCCCCTTGTGCATATGCATTCTGGTTAGAGCTGGGTGAAACTGTTGAAATATGTAATTTTGCTTGACCTGAAACTATCTGTGAACATGGTGTGAATTTGCTAAATAACTTCAGACGTTTAAAAAAAATTAGGATGTAGATGACATTCACAAAATGGCTGAAGTTGGATTCTGTGCTGGTGTCCTCCTTATAATGTTTAGCCCAATTGTTAGGCTATGTGATGGGAGACCCAGATTCAATTCCCTCCTCTGTCTGATGTGGGGAAGGGTTTTGAATTTGGATCTGCCCCCTCCCAGGAAAGAACCCCAACCATAATTCAGTGGTAACTGATAGTCAGTCATCATGACAATGAATAGTCATTGGGCCAAGAAACAAGCATGTGAATCACTAGAGCCGGGTGGTTACAATGCTCACCTAGGATATTGCAGACCCAGGTTCAAGTATGTGCCCAAATAACAGAAGGGAGAACTGACCCTGAGTGAGTACCCTAACCACTGGGCTCAAGCTTATAAAGAGGGCACCACCTCTTCCTTCGGCCATTTTGTGAAGCTAGCCGTTTAAAGATACATAAATGGTGTTTGTTTTTTTTTTTTCTCAATTCATTGGAATTTTTCACAACTTTCAGATTTGGTTCAACTTGAGCAAAAAAAAAAAATTCTGGAAATGGCAGCAAACTGAATGATCAGTTTTGTCCATTTCTAATTATGATACAGAGTGTCAAAAGTACCTAAATATTTTAAGAGACTAAGTGCTGTTTTCAGAAGTGACTGGAGCACTTCAGAATGTGCCTCATTGACATCAATAGGACTTAAACTTCTAAGGTCTCATTTTAAAGTGATTAGGGTGTTGCCCTCTCAGTATTGAAAGACCTAAGGTTGGCATTTTTTAAAGGATTCCATGAGAATTATTTATCCAACTTCCATTAATATCCAGGGGGAATTGGGCATGTAATTCATTCATTCTCCTTTTGAAAGTCCCAATTTACATGATTTAGATGCCTTAGGTCTCAATGTCAAAAGTGATTTAGGTACTAACACGCTAAGTCTCATTGACTTTCAGTGAGACTTAGAATCCTAAGGGCAGATCCACAAAAGGATTTTGGCATTGAAGTCCAAAGTTTAGATCCTCAAAACCACCACTCAGCTTCTGCCTAACCCTGCAGGTACCTAAATTCCCTGAGTGCCTAAACTTGCACTGGTAAAGTCCCTAGGCACCTAAATTTCTGTTGGTGGGCATGTGCTACAATCCCCTGAGTTCCAATACCACTGAGCTTCTTGGTACCTAAGCCCCAGTGGGAGCCTGAAATGAGGAGTTCCCCCACACCTCTCTTACTTGTGGGGCACAGTCTGGTGGGTGTACTCGGAGGCTGCCTAAAAGCATATCTATTGGATCAGGCCCTGCACAGAATGTGGAGGAGGGGGTTCCCCCTCCTCCTTATACCCGATAGCCCAGTGCTGAGAGTACTCATCCAAACTGCAGGAGACTTGGCTTTAAGTCCCCACTCTGACTGATTCAGAGAAGGGACTTGAACCCAAGTCTCCCTTCTTCTAGATCAGGGGTGGGGAACCTCCGGACCACTGCTTCATTTCGTCCAGCTTGAGACAAGTCTCTGCAGCGCAGGCCAGAAGCCCTTAGGGGCTGGAGCCACGAGCACGAGCTCGCCCCACTGCAGGGGGAGGGTTTCCAGGCCATTAAAACTCTGGTCAGCTACGCGCAGCTCCCAGAAACGACTGGCATGTCCATGTGGGCCCGTAGGAGCAGGAGTAATCAGGGAAGCTCTGCGCGCTTCCCCTGCCCGCAGCACCAGCTCCGCAGCTCCCATTGGCAGGAAACCAGGCCGACTGGGAGCTGCCTGAAGTAAGTAGCACCTAGCCGGAGCCCGCACCCCAAACCCTCTGCCCCAGGTCAGAACCCTCTCCTGCACCCTAACTCCTTCCCAGACCCAGCACCTCCATACCCCAACCCCCTGCCCCAGCCTGGAGCCCCCTCCCATTCCCAGAGCCTGCTCCCCAAACCTCCTCCCACTTCCCAACCCCCTGCCCCAGCGCTGATCCCACTCCTTGCCCCAGCCCACAGCCCCTTCCTACATCCTACATCCCCTCATCTGCAGCCCCACCCCAGAGCCTGCACCCTCAGCCAGAGCCCTCATCCCAACCCCCTGCCCCAGGCTGGATCCCCCTCCTGCACGCTGAACCTCCCATTTCTAGCCCCACCCCAGAACCTAAGGGAAGCCCTTAGCCTCTGCACCCCTCGCAGGGCTGTGTGTGGCCCACAACTGATTTTTTCTGTGAGTCAGTGGCCACTGATTAAAAAAAAGGTTCCCCATTCCTGTTCTAGATGAGGGTCGTTACCACTGGGCTATTAGGTTTCTTAGGGTAGGGGTCCTGTAATCTCTCCTGTGGAAGTTGTTCCACTTTGTATGATGTGCATGGGGAAAAGTGAGCATCACAATGGCTCGATAGCCTAGTGGCTAGTACACTTATCTAGGAGACCCATGTTCCAGTCCCTCTTCCAATGACTAAGTATTTTATAAAAAGTGACTTTCCCAACCCAGGTATTTCCTATAGGTTAGGTTAGGTTAGCCACTCACCTAGCTGGCTTCTGAAAATCCCATTATCAGGCACCTAACTCTTCCCAAACATTATATAGGTAGCCTGGGCCTCTAATTCAGGGCTAAGGATTCCACAGGATAGAACCTAATTAGGTGTTGCAACACTGAGTCTAAATCCCATTTGTGGATCTACCCTAAGTGCCTAAGTCACTTTTGAAAACGAGACTAAATCTCTTGGGCCTTGCAATGCTGAGCAGAGCCACACTGAAATACCTTCAAATATCTGGGTCTAAGTGCCTACATCATTTTTTAAAATGGGATTTAGGCTCCTAAGTCACAAAAGTGCTTTCGAAAATTTGTGCCGGTCATTAATTACATGATCACACACTATTCCCCCCCACCACCCCGGATCTTTGTCTTTTTATTATTCTAGTGTACCTGCTGTAACTCTTAAAGTGACTCTTATTTCTCCTTTGATTGGTTGAACCTTGTTTAACTGAAGCCTATGATAACATATATGAAAATGATGACACTTTTGCTCATTACAATGTCCTATGCATCCCCTGGAATTTAGTTTATAATACTTGTTGTGTCCTATATTTGTATTTATTTGGAAAATTTCTAATGACTGTTCTCTGAATTTCATATTCTTAAGGGCAGGAAATTCATCTCACTATGTTGCAGCTGTTTTAGACTGTTCATGTAATGTTCAAATTTCCAAAAGTGATTTGCCAAATTAACATAGATAACTTCCAGGAGAGGAGGATAATTCTGATTCTTTGGCAGCTTGAGAATTCCCAGTAGGGGCAGTAATAAGATTCAAAGAGTAGCTCTGCTCTCTTCCACAGCTTTTGTGAACAAAGATAGAGCAAAAATTACTCTCCAAAATAATTTGTAATTTAACAGAACTGGGATTATATAACACCCAGCCTAAAGAAAATCAGCAATAATTATTTGTTTTCTGGGCAGTTTCTCATGCTTTATATGTTATAGTTTATAAACTTTCCTGCAATACTTTATTTGAATGCAAAAAAACCCCAAAACATTTGTAATACAGATGCTTTGAATTACAGTGGTTAACATTTCACACAAATGCTTACAGGGTGATCTGAAGTATTATACTCCATTTTTTTAAGCAGGACAACATATGTGAGGCTTCCAGAATGGAGGAAGCGGCTAGCCCCCATCTATCATCATGGAGAGGTAAGTGCACAAAAAGCTTAGATTCATCCATATAGTTAAGATGTAAATTAGCTATCCAACCCTGACCACCTAAGGTCACTTGACACCCCATTATGTTATATGTCATCTTGGCCCATAAGGAAAAGATTGTCCATATAAATTCTGAGTCTTTTATCACAGAATCCTAGAATATCAGGGTTGGAAGGGATCTCAGGAGGTCATCTAGTCCGACACCCTGCTCAAAGCAGGACCAATCCCCAACTAAATCATCAGTTTATAGTAGTGACTGAGCAAAATTAATCCCTGATATAATTCCACTGGCTCCCCAGTCTCCACATTGAGATCCTCAACTTGTCAAATGGTCACATAAACTGTTTCCAGGACTTGGGCCACAGATATCTGGGGTCTGATCACTACACTTTTTGAGCTATTCCTTATTCATCCATTCTCAATTACATTGCTTTTCTGCTAACCCTATCTCTGCTCACATTCTTTGAACTAGCCATTTGCGGGGTTCGGTGGCTTGGTTCTCCACCACTTCCGAACTCTGCTCAGGTGCAGTGGAGCGGGTGGGGACTATCAGGGAATTTGTTGCAGCTGCCCAGCTGCAGAGGACCAATCTTAACATACGCTACTGAGAAGCAGCATAGCAGAGCCTTGCTCCACCACACTCACCATCCTCCCATAGCCAGAGCAAATGGTAGCTGGAGAAATTTGTCCCAAAGTTGTTCATTTGTTGTGGTGATGCCTAGAATTCCCAGTTGTGGGCCAGGACCCCAGTGCACTAGGTGATGTAGAAGCAGAACAAAAAGGCAGACTGTAAACTCTTTGAGGCAGAAACAACAAGGAGTCCCTGTGGCACCTTAGAAACTAACAAATTTATTTGGGCATAAGCTTTCGTGGGCTAAAACCCACTTCATCAGATGCATGGAGTGGAAAATACAGTAGGCTGGCATAAATGTAGAGCACATGAAAAAATGGGAGTTGCTTTACCAAGTGGGGGGGGGGTCAGTGCTAACGAGGGGGACGATCCCTCACTCTCACAGACTTTGGCAGATAGGCCAGCCCTCGCTTACAGACAGCCCTCCAACCTGAAGCAAATACTCACCAGCAACTACACACCACCCAACAGAAACACTAACCCAGGAACCAATCCCTGCAACAAACCCCATTGCCAGACCTGTCCCCATATCTATTCAAGGGACACCATCATAGGACGTAACCACATCACCCGCACCATCAGGGGCTCATTCACCTGCACATATACCAATGTGATATATGCCATCATGCCAGCAATGCCCCCCTGCCATGTACATTGGCCAAACCGGACAGTCCCTGTGAAAAAGAATAAATGGACACAAATCAGACATCAAGAATTGAAACAGTCAAAAACCAGTAGGAGAGAACTTCAATCTTCCTGGACACTCAATAACAGAATTAAAAGTTGCCATTCTTCAACAAAAAAACTTCAAAAACAGACTTCAGCGAGAAACTGCAGAACTGGAATTCATTTGCAAACTTGACATCATCAAATTAGGCCTGAATAAAGACTAGAAGTGGCTGGGTCACTACAAAAAGTAATTTTCCCTCTGTTGATATTCACCCCTTCTTTTCAACGGTTGGGAATGAGCCACATCCACCCTGATTGAATAGGCCTCATTAGCACTGATCCCCCACCTGGTAAGGCAACTCCCATCTTTTCATGTTCTGTATATATACCTGCCTACTGTATTTTCCAGTCCATGCATCTGATGAAGTGGGTTATAGCCCACAAAAGCTTATGCCCAGATAAATGTTAGTCTCTAAGGTGGCACAAGGACTCCTCATTGTTTTTGCTGCAACAGACTAACACGGCTACCCCTCTGAAACCTGTCTTTGAGGCAGGGCTAAGTAAAGTCTCTAGCACTCAGAGGTACTGCCATAATTTCTCCTGGAATGAAAAAAAAATGTTTCCTCAGTAATATTGAAGACCAGACCATAGCAATAATTCATGTCCATTCTTTGCACGTAAACAAGCCAGCATGCACACATAATCGATTACAGCAAATATATGAAAAGCATAAGATGGATGAGATGATGATGCAGCACTGAAGATACAGTATAAGAAATAGGCTGCACATACTTTGGGATATAGCTGATTATGTGTGATGTCATTGTAATAGAAAAGGCAACAGCATCAAATCCTTTCCTGCCACTTTTACATTTCCAGACAGGGATTATCTTGAGCCTCTTGTCAGATCATAAAGGTTTGGCTGATATTGAAAATATGAAGAGTGATGCCACGGTCACAGAAAGACAATTCTGTATAACAACTTCTAGCCAACCTGTACTCATCCCCTCCCTTTTCTGCCCCCTCCAAACATGCACATATTAAAGGCAGGTCGAATCTGCAGAAGGATTCAGAGCAAGGAGATATTTGCGATACTAGGCTGTCAAGGCTGATTCCCCACTCTGGCACTTCGAGTGCAGAAAGTGGGGCCCGGCAAGGATTTTAAAAATTAATACTGGCCACTCCAGGCTGGTATTAAACTCTCAAGGTTATAGCTTCTCTCTGACCTTGGACGAGTAGATGCTGCCGCCACCCAAATGCAACTCCCCCCCTTTTTGGAACCCAGGAAGGCGCACTTGGGAATTCCTTCCTGTGGGGTACCCTCAAGCCCTTCCCCCCTGCCCTCCAGGGAAGAGCTGAGAAATAAAACAAAGGAAATTGGCTTTTGCCACCAGCTAATTAAAAAACATGTGCACTGACCTCTTAAGACACAAAAAAATCAATCCTGTTCTTAAAAACGGTAAATTTTATTAAAAACAAAAAGAAAGAAAATACATCTGGATCTTAGGCTTTTACTAGTTTTGAAAGTCCCACTTACAAAAATTAAATATCAAGAATAACCTTCTTGGGGTCCAGCTTAAAGGTTACAAGCAAAACAAAAGCATTTGTGGTTAGCACAGAGGAGTCCACAAGCCTTACAAAATAAAAGAAATAAACCTAATCGCATCTTTCTAGACATTTCTGATCTACTTACATATCTGGGTTTCCAAGTAAGCAATTACTAGCTATAATTCTGATGGTTTTCATACCTGGCCTTCAGCTTCTCACAGCATAACTCCTACCCTGTTCCCCTATTCCCTGGAGAACAACAACAGACACAAAGGGGAAGTTCTTTCCCCCATTTTAAAAAGTTCTAGCCTTCCCATTGGCTCTTTTTAACCCTTTACAGGTAAAGCAAGCTGAGAACAGCCACCAAGACGGACTTGCTGCTGGCTGGGTGTCCATAAAATGGAGCTCCCCCCATTCCATTTATTGCATTGGCGTTCTCCTCCCACTTACACTTTTGTAAATCTAGAGTAGCTCTACTGAAGTCAATGGAAAGCCACTTAGCCCAAAACAGGTGCAAATAAGAGGTGAATCATGCCCATTATTCTCTACAGTACTCGTCAGTTTCATCTCTGTATGCAGATGATATGCTCCCCTTATTTTAGAAGTATTCCATTGTACTGATAAGCAAATTCCTGCAGGATTACTCTACATAAATGATAACAAATATTTTTGATTTGCTGCACATACAGACCAATTAGTCAGCTGTATGAGACAGCTGGTTCACAACGTTCTGATATTCGTACTTTACATGATTTTGATTTAATTTCCAGGGCAGACTATGGAGAGCAGAGTTGTAGAGGGGGGGAGAAGAGTAGATTGGTTGGATGGTTTGTTTGTTTGTTTATTTGTTTAGCCCTTTTGCAACCCTTTCTTTGATACCTACTCATAAATTATATTGTTGTGTTATGGTATCTCGTTATCCTTTATTAGCAGAACATCACTAATTAGGAGTCGGGATTATACATCATGCCCTCCATATAGAACAAGTTAGCATATAGAGGCTTTGCCTACTGCTGTTTTTAAGCCTGAAGAAGAAGGAAATTATAAAGGAAATTATACATATTTCATACTGTCCCTGATAAATGTTCCGGGCCTGTACACTCTAATTTAGAGCTATGTTCATTTTTTTCTCCTGTACTTAATAGGAAACAAAGGTATAGTCCATAGAGTATAATTATAGTCTGAGCATGACCCTAGTGGTAAAATTAAGACAGGGATTTCTAATCTTTAAAACAAAATCGTAAAAAGAAAGTAGATTCAAATGTGAGTCTCATTGAACTCAGTGGCAAAACTCCCATTGACTCCAATGAGAGTATGTTTTCTCTACTGGACACAAATCCTCCATCTAAAGTCTATCTAGCCTGAATAGTCCAGTTGGGTGCTGGGTGGATGTGAAAATGAGAATACCACCCCCCAACTCAAGCCAACAGTGACTGTAGCTTCCACACAGCAGCTCCAATCTACACCATTGGCTAGAGCAAGCTCTGAAGCTGCTTCACGTGGCTTCCCCAGAGCGGGGTAGGACAGAAGGATCCGTGCTGTGGGGAATTTGCCAGATCTGTCCTTCCCTCAGCCTGCCTTTGGCTTCCCTCTGTCCGTTCTCTGTATGCTGCCATAGAGAAAAGCCCCAGAAAACAAAGTTGTGTGCTGTGCACTCACTGTACTCTCCTTGCCTGCAGGAATCCTGCAAACTAGCTAATCTTCACAACACCCCTGTGGAGTAGGTAAATATTATCCCCATTTTGCAGATAGACTGTCTGCAAAGATTTTCTTCATTGACTTGTCAAAGGCAACACAAGGATGAAACCCAGGATTAGAACTCCAGAGTTTCTGGTTCTAGTTCTATATTTACTCTCTCTCTCTCTCTCTTTCTTTCTGGATTGATAGTTTTGTTGCCCAAGCATGAAATCTTTCTTTGGTACAAAATAGGGAACATATATTTTGCCATATTGTCTCACTAACTGTGGGTAGTTAGCGGATGCCAAAAGTCAATTCGTATTGTTTTAGATCCTGCATGCTGGAAATCATGGAGGAAGATTACTGTAATGTCCCAGATTATTATCTCAGTTACAGTTTAGATCCAGAGCATATGCCCTATTTACTAACTAATACTGCTGCAATCAGAAAACTATTCAGCAT